CACACACACACACACACACACACTTGCCTAGGAAATTCCGCGTGGGTAAATGTGGGATGGCAATCCACGGAAAATTCCACTCGGAATTACAGAAAACCCCGCTTGGAATCACAGAACTTCTGCACAAGGGAAAGGGCACTCCCTCCCAGGCAACTCTCAGGCTGGAATTCTATGTGGTTACACCAAAGACTTGCCTAGAACAAATCCAAGCACTTACTAGAATAGAATTTTATTTGGTCTCCAGATTACGAAAGACTGCCGGTCTAACTTCCTAGAATAGAGACGTCGATGTCCCAAAATGGAAACAGAAACTCCAAGCATGCCTAGAAGAATTCCAAGCATGTGATCGCTGCATCGCGAAAGAGGGCTGGTCAAAACTTCCTAGAACAGCGACTTTGATGTCCCAAGATGAAAAACAGAAACTACTTTTTTCTAGTCAGGCCTCAGTAAAGAACAGGATGTAGTTTCTGCGTAAGGGGTTCCTCTGGCGATTGTATAAAACACGCGCGTGTTCCTATGGGTAAAGAGGAGGTTCCTCTGGTTTGGACAGAAACGTGGTGGCAATCAGACAGGAGAAAGACAGATTTGGAGTTGTGGAGAGAGAGAGAGAGAGAGAGAGTGATATCGCATCATATCGGGGATACGTGATCTTTTTTTTTCCTCGCTTTTTTTTTGTGTGTGTTTGTTTTGTTTTTGCATGCTTCCACTCTCCTGTTTCAGGTGGCTTGTTGGGTCGCTGCCACTGACAGGCACGCTGATAAGGGCCTTGCCCCACCACTTGGCAACATGGAAAAAGAGAATGAATCTTCCCGAAGAAGAGAGAAAGATGCACCACAATATTTTTTTGTCTTTTGTGCATCTCATGAGTGGTGGAAAGAGGAGGGGCTTAGGGCCTCGCGCCACTGATCACCACATCACACACAAGATTTTTTTAAATATGGTGGTGTACCTGTCCATGTTCTAGCGGAAGATTCGTTCTCATTTTGGGCATTTGGTGAGTAGCGGACTGCGCCCCTTAGTGAACTGCGCCACGGGGCCGCGTTCCAGTTACTCCAGTGGTACACAACAGACAGCCTTCCACCTTTTTTCTTTTTTCTTTTTTTTTTTTGACAGCCTTCCGCTTTCACTTTCAGACTGGAGAACAGATGGCCTTCCTCGTCTTCAGAACATTGAGGATGTATCAGGGCTGTATGCTAGGAGAGATACAGATGGTCGGAGCCGGGGAGGATCTGTGTGCGGTATTTTTTTTTGTGGATAGATGCCTTTAGCTTTATCTTTCTGCATCCTGCTGTCTTCCCGTCCTACGCGCCCGCCCGACATCGTGTAAATCCCCGCTGCGTAAGGGTTTCTTCATCATACAGATTGAAGGAAGAGGGCGGCACGATGTCCAACACAGACAAACTGGTACATCAGTGAGGCAAAGGACAGGACATTGCTGTGAGATGGACCCCATCGGCAGCAGCAGGTAGCAGAGTGACATAGGTCTCCGAGTCGATCTCATTTTCCCACCACAGCTGCGCCCGACCCTGGGCAGAGACTGCGCATTGATGCGAGAATGCATTTTCTGTCCAATTTCAGGATGGAGGTTTTTCCGATGCCAGGCGTGGTGGTGATTTAAGGAGGGATGGCAGCAGATAGAGAGCAGACGCAGAAGGGGAACCCGTTCAGCGACAAAAGGACACATCCAGACGACGACGTAAGCACAAATGACAGGATGATGCTCCCGGACATGTTGTCTTATAGAAGTGTGAAGTGTGGAATGTAAGAGTGTGGAAAACTGGGTCTTTGCAGTACAGAAAAGGAAGTCGGAGTGTTTGCTCGGTGCGGAGGACGGTGCGGAGGACTGTGCGGAGGACTGTGCGGACATTGTTGTCGCGTCACCCTACGATGTATAATCTATTCGGTGAGAATAGAAACCCTGAGCTAGCATGTTTATCATCTGTTACCTTGCAGTTACTATTCTAGTGTTGTAGAACTCCATTGTTGCCACCTATGCTTGAATTCTAGAGTGAAACACGGATAACGTCATGTATATTGAGTGAAACACAAAATCATATTCATGTTATCATTACACTATTCAATGTATTCATTAGCATTTTTCTTTGCTCTAGTCTTGTGCGAAGTCTTTGATAGTACGCTTGCCGCAAGTCTATGGCAAACGCTTGACGTTTTGGATTTCTGGAGGTACTATCGAATGCCAAGAACGACGGTCGCGGCTGATAGAAGCTTTCGACAGGAAGTAGTGCATGTCCGCCGTACGAGGCAGAGGCCGTGGAAGGTGCTCGGGCCGCAAACGAGATTGGACGGAATATTCGAACATGGGATGCATCGGGCTGCACACGAGATTGGACGGAATATTCGAACATGGGATGCGAACCTTGTCGGCGACGATAGTTTCGGTACTGGCACAAATGGCACCAGCACAGACCGCAACCCCTGTAGCAGCAATGTTGCCAATGGCACCAACTATGGTTACATCGTATGACAAAAGGGATGCCAATGCCACTCTACTAATCAAACCTTTTTATCCGCAGCGCAGCTGTACGGCTGACAGAGAGGATGGTAGCCGATCAGACGAGCTTGACCATCATCAGCGGCGGACAAGTTCCCTAAACGCGCCTGATCGGTTACCATACGTGCACAATCATGAAGGGTCGAAGAGCCAAGAGGACAATGTGTGTGATTCACAAAAGGCATCTGGAACTGTGATAGAGAAGTGGAAGACGACGAGGGGATACGATCGAGGAATAAAAGGAGGACGTGGGAGAAGGGAGTGGTGGAAGAAGCACTGGGCATGGAAATAAGAAAAGGAAAGGGAAAATACAAAAAGTGTTGAAAACGGACAACGTGGCGAGAGAAAGAGAGGATGAAATCCTGAATCTCTAGCAGTTTCAAAGGTTCCTAAAGTGGATTAAATATATGCAATACCATGTTTTGTTTGCATGGCGTTTTTTTTATGTTATTTGACTTTGCAAGTATATGATAAGATGCATAACGATGACCCATAAAAAAAAAAAAAAAAAAAAAAAAAAAA